GAAACATACGCATAGTGATGATTCCAGCCGTTATGTGTCTGATCAATCATAGTAAGCCTTCTTCATGTAGACTCTTCGAGCTAAACGTTGATCTGTTTTGTGAGCAGTTTTGGCTATCTTTGCTCTGTTAATAGTAATGCCTTATCAAGGTACAGAGCAAAGAGTCAGACTTACACACGTATTTGATCTGGTATTCTTTTTGATTAACCTCTTGATCAACATACTGGTTACTTCTTTGAACGGTAAAAACATCAACCAACATCTTTCTGTCCTCATTCATCTTTTGCAGCTGGAAAGATATGGCAAATAAATCAAAGTGTCAAAGCTTTGTTGAAGTCTAGATCAATTATGCAAAAGACATATAATGGCTCAATGGCAATTATGTAGGTATTATGTTTATTGGAATTTAATTCAAATCGACATTGATTTTCTGTCAGTGTGGAATCAGGACTCATGTTCACAGCTGCACATATTATCATGCTTGTCAGCATTCTTGAAGTTACATCAGTGTCGAGTCTCATTCCTATTTTTGTTCCTATTTTGGTTAGTCCATAAGCTCCGAGGAATTACTTGAATTCCCTTAATGTTGTTCTTAGGCTTCTGTCCCCACTTTGATTGTTGTTCGGGCTGGACTGGGCATTTCAATTGAAAGTGTTGAAGGGACAATAGCGACATTAAATCCTATGTCACGCAGTTCTGAAATACATATACGGTATGATGATGCTGCTCACAATGCATCAGAGGGCGCGAAAGGATTTCATCAACAGTTTACTACAATTGGTATATCCAATGTTTGATATGAATATACATATTTTAGGAAGAATTTTTACATCAAGTCACAAAAGATTGATTCAGCTGAATATGTACCTTTGAATTTAGCTGCTCAAAGCCGTGACTTTAGAATGGGTAAAACTATGCCTGCTGGTTATTCAGTGCCCATGCATTGGGATCAGTGTGTAGCATTTTAATATATGAGATATCAATACAAGGAAAGTGAATATCCAGGTAGGATTAAACATGACCAGTTCATTCAAGAATCTGTCTGGTTTTGCATCTTCTGCAGTTGCTATGAGAGCACTGAGCTCTAAAAAGTATCTTGGTGATGTCGAGGGTAGTGTTGTTATAAGCTACCCAAATGTGCACATGTTGGACCTAGGGACTGGACCAGCAGTACTACATTAGAAAATTGCCAATCCTTCACATATATGGACAATAATTGACCTATATATCAACTGTTTGTCACACTTTGGTTATAACCATAGGTCACAAGTGGTATAACATTGACCTTTGCCATTACAGGTTATTATATCTGATTTTGATGGCTATAACTCAATTATAACTTGGCTGTAACCAGCATAATCCTTGTGACCTCTGGTTATAACCAGTTCTTGTAGATGTTATAATTGAAGTGCTAAAAGTGTAACACCTTGAACTACTTCCTGTCACAGAAAGTGATGCTCCCATGATGGACATGTCTTTCAAATTTGTGATAGCTCTCACACTTATTGCGGAGTTCCATACATTGCAACTAAGAAAGCTTGAGTTATTTCATTACTTTATTTTTATACAGTAAATCTTCTCACCCTTGAAGAAATCATCAACAAACCTGTGCACTCAGCTTTTATTGTTGCCAACATGGTTAAGCAGTATCTAAGCCTCTGCATCCAGGATTATTCCTAGAAATAGAGACCTTTATTTTCTTTGCTCTGAGGGAGCCATTGCTCAATGAAATTATACACAGCAAAATATGATATCAGATCATGTAAACAGGATTCTTATTAATTTTATAATTTCCAGAGCTTTAGAACACTTTCTTTAATTGAGATAGTATTTTAGAAACAGGAAATTTATTGCTGAAAATAATTGATGGGGCTGTCACTTTCCATGGGAGGGAGTTTTGGCATAGATATATAGTAGTTTTGCAACATATACACAGGTCAATTCTCCACCTCCCTTTCCACCTCAAAATACTACTTGTGGGACTGTTCTCTGGATCAACTGAACCTGAAGTAGTTTGTTCAATACTCTGGCTGGAACTATGACTCCCATTCTCAGGGAGGTTTCAATGATAAAACCATAAAAATACTTACTGCAGCAACCTAACTTACTTAAGGTCAGAACAATTTTCACAAAAGAATTGGGTTGAAACAGTTATCAATACAAGAAAAGAGAAAAATTACATACTATTATGATAGACTATAAATAAAAAAGAAGATGAAAATGGTCAGTGATATGTGAATTCATCTGTGTTGGTAACCAAACACCAGATGAAATGAATATGTAATATGTATCAATAAAATATTGTTTCACCTACTCTTTCAGCAGCATTTTTTGACCCAATTTAACTTGTGTGAACAATCTGAAGTTGATATGCTTTCTAAAATTCTGTAAAATTATACCAGTAAAAGTAACAACAGATATGACATAGCTCTGGATTGGGTAGAACATCAAAAAAAGCAACTATGGAAGTGTAAAACACTGAAATTATTTCAGAGCAGGCTTTCCCAGACCACAAATAGAAGAAAGGGGAAAAATAAATTTCCAAGACAAACATAGATCAATTCTCCACCTCCCTGTCCACTTCAAAAAGTGCTACTCATAGGATTGTTCTCTGGATCAATTAAAATTGACACAGTCTGGTCATTACTTTGGCCAGAGCTATGACTCCTAGATCTTGCTTCTTCCCTTGATGCAAACTGGATTGACTGGGATAAGGACATGCCATCTTTATTATCTGGTTTTGCATTCTCCACTGCTGCTATAAGGATGATAAGAATGGGATATAAAGCCTAGATATCTTGATTAATAGGGTAGTAATTATAATGATCTGAAAAGCTGACTGATATGGAAGGGAGTGAAGAAGTAAAAAATAACCAACTGTTGGTAGTGGCCAGACTTGACACTGCAATCATAGCCTTGAAAAATACTTTATTATTTCTATGTATATAACCAGATTATCCACCTACCCAAAGAATGCAGTAGATTAAACCAGACTCAATTAAGAGCAATAAAATTTTTTGTATCTTTCCTCTGGAGGAAGTACTGGAAGCCAAATTTTTCTTGATGTGATAATAATGGCACCTATCGAACATGAGAGTGAAGAAACTGACTTCTCATATTAAACCAATCACTCACCATGCTTTATATCCAATCAACAAAGTGGCAATGAGATTTGTAATTAAAATGGGAACTGTCAAGCTTAACACTTGACGTAAACCTGCTCGGGCATTTATGTCTCTAAAAATACTTTTTATTTCAAAAGCACCATCAATAGAACTTCCGACTAATAGAATTCTCAGAAGTTTCAATGTCAATTTCAATAAAATCACAAGGTTACTTACTGCAGCATCCTAACATGCTTAAAGCCAGAATTATTTTTACAAAGGAATTGAATTGGAATAGAATCCATGCACGCCATACCACAATTCCATCGCTGATAAGATACTGAAGATTTGCAATGTTAACAATGCTTATTCCTATAAAAAGAAAAAACCAACATTTATCCTATCCAAAGGCACTTCCACAACATATAAAATTTTCAACTGAGAATCAATATCTGTTGTATTGGATGGGCTGAAGCCAAGCATTGGGATCTGTATAATATTGAACTCTGTGTCAACAATGCAGATGGACAGGTTTATCAAAAATGTAATTGCAGTGAGAATTCCTAGAATTTTGTGTGTTTTTGAAAAACCATGTCTTCTCGACCTACAATTGTTTGATTTATGAGATAAAGCCAAATATCTTGAAGAAATTAGTAAATGGTCTCATACAGGAAAAGACACCAGATTGTTATTGAGAGTGTTAATTGAACACCAAATAAAAGCCATTCTATTGCTTCTTGAATAACCCAAAATCTCACGCCATCAAGATCAGAAGCAGAAAGAGGTTGGGATTGTTGCAATTGAGTCATGGTCCTAGGATGAGCTTTACTTGCAAAAATGGTTTCTTTTATATGTGCTTTGAAAGAATCAAGAAAAGTTAAATCTTGAAACAGATATCAACTTTCTCTTTAGAATTGCTCAAATCAAAACTATTTTCAGTAACTATTGTACTTTGTAGCGACAGCTGAGTTGCAGCTCAACTGCACGAACTTGATCTGCTTAATGTGTAGGCACAAATGATGCATGTGTCACCTACTGATGAATTTGTCAGGAGAACTATGATCTTAAGTTAGGTAGGGGCTCGACATAAACAAAGGCATGTTGAAGAACTAGACCATCGCTGCACATGGCAGGTATGGGGCCATAATTCAGCAAAATGTCGCTTTTGTGCTGATGATTACTTCAGTGCGGGAAAAACAATGGGGCATCCATCGATTGATTTGAAAAAGGTTTAAACATGACTGCCTAAGCAACTGGAATAAGTAAAGACAAGTTCTCAGAAGTTCGGCCTCGCAACTGAAGCTGACTGGTGGCAATAAACAGTATGACCACAACAGTCAGGGTAGGTTTTATTAGTGGCTAATTCCTGTTATTAAATACCTTTCTTGTTCTCCAAATAATTGAAATTTAGAGTTTACTTTCCCATCATGTTTCATTTTACAGTCTGGCTCAAGCGATATGATAAAGTAACTGAAATGTAGCATCATTTCTCTGACTACACTAACTCCTACGCCTCGTGGCTTGAGCATAGGATATTCAGGTGGCATCTTCCTATGAACTCAGTACAGGCGAACAGTATTGAGTCTATTCTTATAATTTCCTAACAAGGTTGTGTGATCAATAATCTGTCAACCGGGAAGTCTATTACCTATCACAGAGTCAGCTCAGATTTGCATTCTGAGCTGGAATGTCAAATGCAAACGTACAGTCTACTTTGTATCATAAAGCATTCACATCATGATTGTGATGCAAGCTTTGTGTTTCTTCGACGATATCTCAATAATGAGTCAATATGTTGATTAGTATGAGGTGAGCAGTCTAAGGTGGTGCATACTAGGATTCAACTGATGTAAGATAAAGCTACAGGATTATAATCGCAAAAAACGTAGTCTGGCTCGACGCCAGCAGGATTTGAACCTGCGCCCTCAAAGAGGAACAGATATCGTAATTCGAATCTGTCGCCGTAACCACTTGGCTATAGCGCCGTTAGACAACACGGAAGAGGTCCGATCCACATGATCAAGGAAACAGGCGACTTCCGTACGCGTCGCGTCATTGCATTGCAGGTTTGCTCTTTACAGTGATGTCGATTGAACGACCGACCTCTGCTCCTCCTTCTCCAGCTAATAGACCAAGCTCCAGCACCAGCAAGAACCGTACAACATCCCATTCGTCATCAGCTGCGATGAAGGGGGTCAGCTCATCGTTGGATCTGATGAGCACGCTGCAGAGATCCACGCCTTCGGTGGTTAAGACGAGAACGGGGAGTGTGTTGAGTAGGGGGTTTATTCTCAAAACTGATTTTTATCCCTCTGGTGAGCATATGCTTGCTCTATCGTTACTAGTACTGACACTACACGAATATGCATACAGGTCGGGCATTAGACTTGGAACTCAATGTACACGGTGCACCCAACTTTCGGGCACCGAAGATGGGCGATCTAAACGTATTTGGTGTTGCTCAACCTCGGACACAAGGATTACGGGCTATTTTGTCGATTTTGAGAGCTAGGCCAGGTGTGAAGGATTCCAAGCATGTCGTATGGTTTTCGACCAGGGAGGAACCGATAGGTGGGTTGTTCTTTTTCTTTGTTCTCATTCACTTGCTTTTTTTCGCTTTCCTTTCGAGTACTTTTGCTATTATTTTTCCATATTGGTTCCTATCTGATTCTGACTTCATCTCTTCACTTTCACTCGACTAACACGTTTGTGCTTGCTTTCTCCGAACCCAATCCGGACATCGCTTTGCCATCTTATCTTGAACCGAATAATACACGTTCATACACGTTGCATTTCTCTGAAACCCCTATCTTTATCAGTCTACATATCCGGGCGCCCGTTCGTCCTCCGAGACGCCTCCCATCCCCGAAAAACCTTTGCTCTATCCGATCGCGCCGAGAACCTTGAAGCTATAGAGTTGCGCCTCAAGAATGATATTCTACAGGAAGCAGCTAAATTTGGTGGACTCATCCTTACTCACAACGAAGTTGCGTCGAATCCTTCATCTCCGGATGGTGCCATTCTCCCGACTTGGACGGCTGTAGACGTGGAAGGAAATAATGTCAGGACGCAGAGAGAGCTGTGGGAAGGCTATAAGAGGGAAGGGTGGAACGTCGATTATTATCGGTACGTGCTTTTGCGTATTGCAAAAGTTGGTATATGAACACGCAATTTTCATGTAGGATTCCTATATCACCAGACCGGCCCATTGAGGATTCTTATCTCGATGCCTACCTTCGCGTTATCAAATCCACCGACCCTCTACATACCTCTCTTGTCTTTAGTTGCGGAATGGGAGCAGTAAGAACGACATACGCAATGGTGGCAGCTTGCGTAGTACGAAGAAAACAGATCATGCGGTTGCAGACACGACAACAGAAATTCGTAAACTTGGGCGTTGTCATCGGAGGAGGCGTTAAAGACCCTTTTGGAATAGAATCCAAAGACGGAACAAGAAGTCCACCGGGAAGTGGGTTCGCTACGCCGGTGAAGTCTACGTCTGGTGGAACAGATACACCCTCAGGAATTCTACAGTCCCTCGAGCAGGCTTCGGCTCAGGTGGATCTGAGTAGGAGCTTGTTGAGGTTAATGTATCTCTTACAACAGTGTCTTGAGCCCTCATCATCAGCACATCATCCCCAATTTCCTTCTTCGACGTCTGCCTTTTCATTTGGTACACAGCCGTCTTCAACCTCCTCAGCTGGAACACCCTCTGCAAACTTAATATCCCTCTTAATCACTCATCCAACTCTCCTCGATTCTCTCCGTAAAGCCTATCTCGGTAACTACGGTGTCATTCTCTCCCTCCTAGGTTGCCTTGAAGATGGTCTAGGTGCCAAACGAGTCGTTGACCGAGTCATAGACGCGAATGACCACGTCGTCAATCTACGAGAGTCAATTCTCGTTCAGCGTGTCAAGTACGCCTTGTCTTCCTCTGGTAGCAGCGGAGAAGGTGCTGGTGCTGGTGGAGAAGCGTCCCTGACTAGAGCAGGAAAGGCACTAGAAAAATACTTTTTCATGATTGCGTTTGCGAGTTTTGTGGAGGGCTCGGATGAAGGGTTTTCGCAGAGCTTTTCCGAGTGGTTAATGGCTAGGACAGAGATTTGGAAGTGAGTACCTGCTTTGCTCTCCCTGCGCGCACGAATTAATTGTTCGTCCAAAAGTCAAATCCAGTACCTACGCAAATCTATCTCCTTGCCCTCTTTACTTGGCTCCGCCTCACACGGAGGATCGTACGCCAACCCAACTCAGACACAGAAGAAGCTCAACTTGTTCACGCCTATACATGACCTAAGCGCACTAAGTGCGAGTCAGAGTTCACTGATGAGAGAGATGGCCTTGGTTCCAGGCGAGTCTCATACCTGTCGTTCGTTTTGCTTCCACATTCACTGACTGTTTCTCTGCATTCTCTAGGTAAGCGCAACGACTGGGCAGTCCGGGGTGAAGAAATATCCGGAGAAGAATACGAAGGCTGGGTCGTCAAGAACCGTCGCGGAGTCGTCCTCCGAGAAAGCACTCTCCTCAAATCAGACCAATGGTTCCGCGCGCAGCTTTTACCTTCGCCCACGACACCTCTTTCCCCTTCTTCCCCTTCATCTCCCACTTCGCCTCGATCCAGAGACCCTGGAACACCACCTTTGACACCTCTCCAAACAGGCTCGGATCTTAGAATACTCACCTCTATTCGAGGTGCTCCTAATTTCCGTAAAAACCCTAATACGAATATATATGCTCTCGGTCAACCGACTATTGAAGCTATAGACTCTGTCGTTTCGCATATTCTCTCCGAGAATCCCGGTGCAAAACGTGTCTTATGGATTACCCTTCGTGAAGAACCTATTGTCTATATCAACGGTGTACCATACTGCTTACGTCGTGAAGGATGGAGTTTGAGAAATATGAAGGATTATGGAGGTATTTCCAAGGGTAGGTTGGAGGTGTTGGAGGAGAGGTTGAGAGATGATGTGCTACAGGAAGTAGCAACGTTTGGAGGGAGGTTGTTGGTGCATACCGAGACGGAGGAAGGAGAGGTCGTGCCAGTTTGGGAGGAGGTCGGGGAAAGTGGTGTCATGGTACTGAAGGATATCATGGAGGCAAGAAGGGCTTTCAAACGGGAGACTGAGGTGATGTCTGCTGGCCCGGAGGGGGCTCTGTTGTCTGCTGGCAGTAATGTTGGTGTGGAGGACGTCGAGTTGATTTATGATAGGATACCTATCACTTCGGAACGTCCGCCTGATTTCACGGATTTGCAAGAGATGATAGAGGTGGTGCTGAGGAGGTCGTCGAGTGATACGCCGATTGTCGTTAATTGCCAGCTGGGCAGGGGAAGGAGTACATTGGCTTCTGTGAGTGACCATTCTTTTTTGCTTTCATAGGAGTATACTAAACACCTTCCATAGATTATATTGACCATGATTCGTCAATGGCTCGAGACCAGCCGTCTCAAGACCCCCACAACTCCCAAGATGTCCAAACGTTCTCTTTCCATGGCTCCAGTCACCCCCATCATCCCTGCAATCGAATCCCCTTCCGACTCTCTTGCTCTCACTAATACGAGCCCTAACATCCCCCAGAAGACATACCGCCGTTCTTACCAAATCATCAACAACCTCTTGCGTGTCATCCGTACCGGTCTAGCCGTAAAAAACACCGTAGATGCTATCATCGACCAATGCGCCGTAATCCACAATCTACGCGATTCCATAGAAGACTCTCGTGTTTTGGCTGAACAAGCATTGGACGAGAAGGGCAAGAGAGCACACGCTCAAAAAGCACTGGCAAATTTGAGGAGGTATTTCGAGTTGATTGTGTTCCAGGCGTATTTGCAGAGTATGGAACCAAATACGATGGAAGATTTTGAAACGTTTGAGACATTTGTTAAGAGTAGGCCTGGTGAGTATTCTGAGTGCTTGCTTTTCTTTCCGCTGGTGTTGACTCGGACGTTAGTCATCAAGACCTTTGAGAAGGAACTCTTAGTAGAGGGTATTAACGCTCTCAAACCTTTGGAACGAGCAGATATCCTCGAAGGTGTGGCACATCCTGATGAAGTCCAACAAGTCGTTGTCAATCGTTCTGGGACTATTCTTTCGGCGTCGACGATTCTTAAGAGTGATTTCTTCTCTAATTTGCAAAAGATGACTTTGCCAGAGTATGTCTTATATCGTATCATTTTATCTTTTTTGACATGGTCTGCCTGTTGACAGACGGATAGAAGGATCGCCCAACTTTAGGAGATTACCACTAACACTCAAAGTTGTATCCTCGGGGACGTCTTCGCCGTCAGAAGACTCGGATGTGAAGGAGTATGCGGTGGGGACGCTGAATGACGGAAGGATGGTTTGTGGAAGGTGAGTCTGTTACAGGTTGTTTGAAGAACACTCTGTTTAACTTTCCTCTCCTTCAAGTGGGATGCCTACCGTTGATGGGTATGTGCTTCTGTTGTTGTGCAAAGTGAAGAATACTGAGAGTCGCCTCTAGGTTGAGACGGGCTTTGTATAGAGTGGATGCTGGACCCGAAGGAGCCAACAGGGTATTTTGGACTTCTCTTCGTGAGGTCGGTATTATATTCGTTCGTACTGGATGACTCTCTTAAGAACCTTATCAGGAACCGGTCATCTACGTTGCTGGACGACCTCATGTGTTACGCCTGGTTGACAAGCCTCTTGAGAATGTCGAGTCAGTATTATTTTCGTGCCTTCTCAACCTCCGGCTCACTTATTCGTCTCAGAGCTACTGGTGTAACAACTTCAACTGTAGAAGCCATGGAACAAAGTTTCAAGAAAGACGTCCTCAGGGAGTTACGTGCGGGTAATGGACGTATCTTGTTGCATGATGAAGTCGAGGAACGACCGGGAGTGTTCTCCATTATACCGATATGGGAGACGGTGTCTGAGGAGGACATTTTGACGCCGAGGGACGTGTTTGAGCTGATGGCCAAAGAAGGGTTTAAAGTGCGAGAAGACTTCTGAAAAGCTTAAGCTTCCGC